AAGTATCACAGAACATGAAGGGAATGAGATATTAGGAAAAAAAAATTACTGGGCTAAAATATTAATTCTCAACCAGTTCAAATTTGGTAACAGTAGCATAAAATATGAATATTTGAGACATAGTACAATCCAGCATGTCTCATTTGCATATTTGTACACATGTACAATATGTCCAAACTGTACACTTTATCTAAAACACTGTAATTTCTAAATGCTTCAACACAGAGACTTCACTCTGGGCTCAAATTAAAGATATAAATCCCACAAAACACATTCTACCTTCCATATTTACTCACAGCATGATTAAATTGCCAAAATAATTATTAACATTCAGCCAATTTCCACCAATAAACATCCAAAATACAACAATAAACAAATATATCCTTATTTTTTCAAAGCATTAACATTCCACACAGCTTATAAAACCACCAGCAGTGAAAAAAAATATTTATTTTTCACTTACTTTTGATGCATATTTGTCCTCAAATATGATGAAATTAGCAATTCAAAATGGCCGACTGGAAGCGGTATTACACAAACATTTTTTTTTACTTCTCCTGGCCACAAAAATCACTCCTCCATGTCTTGAAACACTCGAAACACTTCATAACAAATATATTTCTACTGTACCAGCATGTTTAACCAGCTAACTTTTCAAAAAAGATGAAAAAACATTGTTTTCTTCTTRGTCTACTGGATGGAGCTATCCATCCACAAAGGATGACTGTCTCAAATGTTGGCCATCTTTGGCTTGTGATTGGCTAAACAAAGTTCCCACCCCTTCAAACTATATACCAAATGAAAGGTACTGTGATTGGCTACACAGCTGTAGCATCAGAATGAATCTCGGAGCTGATTGGCCAATTCTATGGTCAATCTAGCKCAGGGTGACACAAACTGGAAGTTGGTCATTTCTCACAGATTATTGGCTCTGGAGATCTGATAGATGAACCCAGTTGGCCAAATGAGGTGTCAATCAAAAGGGGAGGACTTAAACATCCATTTTGAGCTCTTATTGGTAGTTTTTCTCACTTTAGAAGCCATGTATCACGTCTTAAACCAAAGTGAAAGTAGAAATGGAATGCCGGCATTCTGGTGCATGTTAACTAGTTATGCTAATTTCATCCATTTTAGGAGCACTAACTATTGAWTTTTGTAACAACTAAAGCAAAAACAGTCGTCATTAATTGTAATTTTTAAATGTTGTTAATTCTGAAAACACTTTCAAGACCCCCCTTGATGTTTCGACCCGAACTTTGAGAACCACTGCTTTATATGGTCAAAAAAGGACAAAAATAAAATTACTTCAGGGCTCAGATTGTCATGCAACAGGAAAAGTATACCAAACACAACAGCAGATAACAWGACACAAAAAACAAAACAATAAATCAAAGTGTTACAAAGATCTAGTTAAACTCCAGACATAATATGAATGTGGTTTGTTTTGCAGCTTGCACTTTTTAAACCCTCGTGTATTTACTGTTTCTGTGTATTTGTGTCGTGTAGGTCCATGCAATTTTTATCAGCAACGACATGCGACTTAACAGCTGGTTTGACCCGTCGTGGAGGAAAAGGATGCTGCTGACACTGAAGAGCAACAAGTACAAGTCCAACATGGTCCACATGCTGCTTGGAATATCCCTCCAGATCTGCCTTACAAAAAACAGCACCCTCGAGCCTGCGCTAACTCTCTACATCAACCCGTTTGGAGGGAGCCACTCTGAGAGCTGGTACATCCCCGTCAARGAGAACAGCTTTCCGGACTGGCACGCAAGCAAGTTGGACCTGCCCTTTGAGTGTTATAACTGGACTTTGACGTTGGGCAACAAGTGGAAAACCTTCTTTGAAACCATCCACATTTACCTTCGCAGCAGGATAAAGACTCACGATGGAGTGAATGACAGTGTTTATTATGAGCCCATCGAAATGACAGATCCTGCTCAAAGCCTGGGTTACATGAAGATCAACAGCATCCAGGTCTTTGGCTACAGTATGCACTTTGACCCAGAAGCCATTCGTGACTTGATTCTGCAGCTGGACTACCCGTACACACAAGGCTCCCAAGACACGGCCATGCTTCAACTCTTGGAAATACGTGACCGGGTGAACAGGCTGTCCCCTCCAGGTCAACCAAAGCTGGACCTGTTCGCCTGTCTCCTTCGTCACAGACTCAAACTGACTCCCAGTGAGGTGGTCCGCATCCACGCCTCTTTACAGGCTTTCAGCTCACGCCTGCCCAATACAGTGGATTACGAGACCACCAAACTGTGCAGTTAACAGTCAAAGAGAATTTCAAAAAGGCACCAAGAAGAACTACTGTTTTTTCTGTGGTGCAGAGTCATACATATGTTTGGGTCTCCAAGGATTACCAAACTCTCTGGTTAATCAAGAGACAACCAGCTGTGGACAGCTGAAGAATGTACTCATTTGGTTTTATTAGTTCTTTATGGAAGCTCTGCCTTCAGTGATACYTACAGAAATGGGCTGACTTGATGAGGAAATACATAACTGCTTCTTCAGAATAAAAAAAAATCTTAAAAACATTGATATAGGGATTCAGAAACGCCACATAAAGTTGAACCATTCTGTTTTAAGACGACTGCTCATTTCTACTGTAAGTACTGACGCCAAATGAACGGACATTTTATGATTAAAATGGTACTGTCTGTTTGTTTGTAATTTTTATATGTTCCTTTGCTTCAGTGACAGTGCACTTTCCATAAATACCAGATTATAGTGGTGTAAAACAAGATTTTGTAGATAAATTGATATTAAAACATCATGTTATAACAAATTGGAGGTTTGTCAGTTTTTTAGTCTTTCGTAACCMTTTCTAAATATACTTTCAYTTTAACGAAATAAGTATTTAAAGAGATCCCCGATTAGTTGTAACATTAGACTTTATTTGATAAACATATTTTAACTGTAAAATAAAGACTGTAAAAATACTGTAGGCTGTTTAATTTTTTTATTTTTAAAAATATATTTTAACATGGACGGAGCCATTTTATTTACATGCAAAGCATTCTGGGTAAATGATGACGTGGATAGGTCCTCAGTGTGAGCGAGCTATATCCACCCTGAAGGTTAATCTTGGACAATATCTGATGATCMACTCTTTTAAATGAAACCAGAGAGCGTTGACAGAGAGGAGAAGGTAGAAATGACTCAGCCTGTAACTGAAAATATGGATGGAGGACAACAGAGCTGCTTCATGGAAGAAGAACCTCGTGTTAGCCTATTAGCCTTTGCACTAGCACCGACGCTATATTGCCTAACATGTATTAGCTCAGTGCTAGCGTGAAAAACAAGCTAAACTGAGGTCATGTGGATGGAGGACAGTGACGAGAGGAGAATGTGTAGCACTGAGCTAATACATATATGTGGTGATAGCGTCTGGGCTAACGCTAAAGCTAACAGGCTAAGCTGAGGTTCTTCTTCCATGAAGCAGCTCTGTTGTCCTCCATCCATATTTTCAGTTCCAGGCTGAGTCATTTCTACCTTCTCCTCTCTGTCAACGCTCTCTGGTTTCATTTAAAAGAGTCGATCATCAGATATTGTCCAAGATTAACCTTCAGGGTGGATATAGCTCGCTCACACCGAGGACCTATCCACGTCATCATTTACCCAGAATGCTTTGCTTGTAGATAAAATGGCTCCGTCCGTGTAATATATTTTTAAACTTTTAGTTTAAAAATTATAAAAACTTAACAGCTTACAGTATTTTTACAGTCTTTATTTTACAGTTAAAATATATATTTAACAAATAAAGTCTAATGTTACAACTAATCATGGATCCCTTTAAAAGTTATATTTAAAGCAAAGAAGTGCCTATTGTAAATTGCAACAAACAAATATATTTTGATTGGAAGTTCTTCAACGTTATACGTTTGTTCAGTCCAGCTGAGCTTGGCACAACTTGAACTATTGCAACCTATGAGGCAAATATGAGAGGGAACAATGTAGGGTGTATTTTTTTTGTATTATTACTTCTGGCATTCCATTAAAAACAATGCTAATTTTACTTTGACACTAAATGCAGTATATTTTCATTTCTRACACATTTTCCTTTATTATATTGAGGTACATTGCAGCTGTGTATTGGTTTACTTTGGTTTCACACACACAACTATAAGACYAAGTCTTTGTAAACACTTACCTATCTTACGCAAACATATATGTTTGTGTATTGGGTTGTGCGCTCTGTCAAAGAATCACCGAGTGCGCAGCAGTGAKCTGCGGTTGAACAGATCCTGTACAGACTCTGACGGAGGACAGAAGCTGCTGCTATTGTGCTGCTGACACGCTGCTTTCTGCAGCGAGGACCGTTTTAGAGCAAATACAAATTAGCTCAGACAGCACACAGCTTTCTGTTCCACTCAAACACATAACCAACCATTAGTAAACTGTGCCTCCAAGAAACGTCTGTGTGGCTGTGTCAGCATGTCAAAGAACTGAAGGAAGCAAGAGCTAACAAGAGCTTTCTTTGTAATCCATGAGATTCTTCTCCTCTCATTGTTTCTTTTTTGTTTTTTTGTAATGCAAAAAAAAGTTATTGGCCAAAATAAATATTTCACTATGATAAAAATATATACTTTTGAATATTAATTTGATATAAAAGTGTAAAATTTGAGGAACTTTTTGTTCTCTTCATATGCACATTTATTTTCCTTTGCTTACTTATTTTTTGTGGCATTTCCAGAGATCAGTTCTAACACAATCACCACCACAACTTTCTTGTCAGGCTGAAACAAACAAAAAAGCACATTTAATTTTGTAAATATTCTATAGCTTGGATTGACAAACTCCTTCGGAAACAGATTGGTATATTTTTATTCAAAAAGACTGATTTGAAAGGGTTTTATTGTAATAAAATAAATGTTATAAAAATCCATCTGTAATAAAGGCAGATGTATAATTTATGATTACTTACAATATCGCTTCTAAAAGTGATTATATGTGCTATTTTTAAAGGCTTATGGTTTTTCAGTTAATTAATAAACAATGTCAGCGTTTTAAACAATGTTACGTTTTGCTTGGATTTTACAGTTTTTACTGAGGGATCCTGACCTGGTTAAACATGAACATGCAACAAGACGTTCAATTGTATTTTTTAAACTTTTTTCTTTCTTTTTAAGTTACCCTAACTTAATTATGCTGCAGATCTCACAGCACTAATTAAACAGAGCTAAGCTCTTAGGCCAGTGGAAACCTATTAGAATATCTGACAGAAACATACTGTTAAAATAAAACAGATTACAATTATTTCAACGTTTATTTATTTTTTTATTCATTGAAGTCATGTTAGAAATCAGACTTTGAACATAAAAGTGTTTTGTTGCAGAGGTTGTTACAATCAACGTAAGTTGAAACAAAAATAAAATATTATTATTGTTTTTTACTGATGTTGAAGAGATACATAAAACTGTAAGGCTTTTAGTGTAGTCAGTGATCAAATGCCACGCCTTTGCACAGTAGGTCAAAGATTATATCAGCATTATTAATGTCAGGTAAAAGATGCCATATCTAATCCAGGAGCTTGTATCAGTGTTAGCGACACTACAGACCACAGGGAAGTCAAGCACCTGTGAAGGTGAACAGTCGTCACCTCAATTTGTCTGCTCCCCCTATCAACTCCAACTCATGTCAAAGGTTTAGGTAAGACAAGGGCTGTATTTGGATGAGCTGTGTTTGACAAGATGTGAGTGCTGGYATGTATTATCAAATGTCAGGCCCAGCGTCTACCCCGAATAAATGCAGCGGTGCCAATTAAAGACAGGCGGAGAGTGCTTCACTGCAGCGTGAAGAGGAACGGGTGGGAAACACTGAYACATTGGATCCGGTTTTGTTTATAAGTTTGTCTTGACAACAAAGTGACTAACTGTCCAAAATGACTTATTTGTATGTGTATATATATATATATA